AACAACAACCCTGTGAGGTGAGTTGGGCTGAGAGAGAGTGACTGGCCCAAAGTCACCTAGCTGGCTTTCATGCCTAAGGCAGCACTAGAACTCACAGTCTGCTGTTTTCTAGCCTGGTGCCTTAACCACTAGACCAAACTGTCCCTCGTATTTGCATAGTCACCCATCTTAAAACCAAACTCTGGGCAACAATAAAAACAATATTTACAACTAAAACAAACACAGTACAACCAAAAACAGAAAAACCTGGCACTGCAACCACACTTCACTGATGCAATCCTTCACATGCTTATCCTGCTCTGACCTGATCCTGTACCAGGCCTGGGGGAAGAGCAAGGTCTTGACTACTCTCCGGAAGGTTAAAAGGGTGGGACCTGTTCCATAGGGCAGGGGCTGCAACAGAAAAGGCACATTTCCGAGGACCCACGACATGGCAGTGTTTAAGGGAGGGAAGCTGGAGCATGCCTGCCCTATCCATTCTGGTGGGACTGGCAATACCTTCAGGGAGAGGTGGTCCAGCAGATAACCTGGTCCCATGCCATGTAAGGGCTTAAAGGGGATAGCCAGCACCCTGAATTGCACTCTGGTATTGAAAAGACCTTTGGTATTATGTACTGTCTTGGCAGCATTCTTATTCTAATTTAGCAAAAAGATTGATTAACATAAGCAGAGGAACTACAGGTGAAATATAACCTATGATTAAAAGCCATAAAGTAAGATGCTGAAAACTGACCTTTTGCCATTTGACCTATGATGTAGATTAAATTCTTTCTACCAATTTGTGATAACTGCTCAAAGTCATTATAATATTTAACCTTTCAATATTTCCTGGTAGGAATTGTGCCTGGCATTGATAGCCTTGTAGGTAAGAATGTACCCACAGAAATATTGTATTGCTTAATTGACATGGATAGCCAGTGTGCTTAGAAAAGAACTTTCTCATATATTAAGGATAGGCTAGAAAAAGTGTCATCTTCATTACATAATTTGGTGACAATATTAATGAATCACATATACAAAAACTCCTTGGTTGAATGGAGGAAGGAGGCACTCAGTCAAATTGAGGAAGGATCCTGGGAAGATAAGCTGACAGGTATTTTGATAGAAAGCAACTTAAATTCCTTTTCTGGCATCTGGTGACATTGTATCAGTATGAATCAGGATTAGGAAGGGCCATAAAACATTGAGAGTTAAAATGATAAATCCATTGTCTGCTTCTTAGATAAGCAAGCTTTTGAAAATAATGGTAGGTTGCAAAGTGAAGATATTCCAGATACTAAAAGTATTTGGCCATGTAAATTTACCTTATGAAAACACTTATTGAAAAGATGTTTGACAAGAAAATATTTTATGATTTGGAAAAGACTATAGGGTTGTCTCAGATTATCTATTCATACTATAAATATCTGTCAAACTAAGATGTGAATCAATAAGTAATAAATTTAATTAGAAAGAATAAAAAAGAATTTGTGTGGAAGTAATTTCAGATCCCTGAGAAGGAAAGTTCAGTTTTTCCTCTTAGCAACTTATTATATGTGTTATATAGACTTGATTAGCAATTACTTTAGCTTCAATGTAGAAATGTGCTAGTGATTTGATGGTGTGAATGCTATGCCATGTAAATCTATAATCTTTTTGATACTAGTTGAACATGATGTAAGATGTAATACATTTGTCTTTTACTAAGAGGGAGATGCTTTTTCCTAAATAATGTTGTGTCTAAAACCACAACATTCAAGGCTCAAGGGAACCATGGTGCTACAGTAAAAAGTTTCTAAAATGGTCCAGTAATTACTGAGCTAATGACTTAACTAAAAAAAAAAAAAAACTACACAAAAGAATTTGTGAATAAAGAGCAATTGTTCAAAAGGATACATCAGTTACAATATGTTAATAATCCATGTTGCTTTTCCAACATAATGTACCAAAAACATATTTAATTAGACAAATTAAAAAATAAAGAACTTCAAAAAATTATTTTAAAAAATAGCTTCTCTACTCTTAAGTAAAATACCCAAAGGACCGAAAAGAACTACAAGACTAATAATTTTTATAGCATCAAGATGCAGAAGAGGCCAATGCTTTCTTTGGATAAATAAATAAACAAAATAAAATATTGTTAGAAAACATTACCACTTATTTAATAAATAGTAATAAAATTCATGTGAGGTGACAAGCTTCAAAGTCTACTTGGGTTACAAATACATCTGCTAATGTCACATTTAACAATTTTCTTTTTTTTCTCCTCCCCTCATCCAGCACAAAATAATTTATTTTATCCTACTACCTTACTGGAAGGATTAAAAATTAAACTCTTACTCATCATTTTAAGCAACAATATTTTATTTCAAATCCTCTCTGAAGTCTGCCAAAAAGAAGATTTGTGCCCAGTTTTGTATAGTCAGGTTTTTCTCAATGGATAAAATTGGTTGGTTGATTGATTGATTGATTGATTGGCTGGGGCTTGTATGCCACTCCAGTCTAGCACAATTTAAGACTTTAAGTGGCTTGCAGTCCTTTCTTCTATTCAAATAATAAAGCAATGCAAGCAAATAACAGAATTACAGTAACAAAAACAATAGCAAAAATTACCAAAGAGATTAAGGCCACCATGGTTATTGAAAAATAAACATTCAAGTGCAAGCCAAGGTGGGATATACTCACTTATACTTGATTCACTTCCAAGGCTTTTGTAAAAAGACAGGTCAGTTCTCAGGAATTAAACTATTACAAAGAAGCAGGACTGCAACCAAGAAGGCTTGACTTTTGGAGATACACAAGGGCCTGTAATGAAAAAATAGCTAAAAGTCCAGTTGTTGTCCCAGGAAGCTGGATTCTTTGTGCCTGGCATGTGTGCGCCAATGAAACATGCAAAACGGGAAATCTCTTTAATAGCTTTGTTCTGCAGAAGAAAGGCACTTGGGATTTTTCCAAATCAAGTGTGGAGGTTCGTTCGAAGGCATTGGGTTTTAAACAATTACAATGAGAAAATCATGACCTCATAGGTTAATACAATTTCATTGGTAAACACAGATAAAACACTCCCAGAAGGTGGGTACTGTTGTTGTTAAGGGAAATATGATCCTGCAGGTACTTATCTAATTTGTGTGAGAGGCAGTGACTCCAGCTTCATTCTATACTTGGGGGAAGATTTTTACTGCTTTAACTGTTACTTTCACTTCTACTGATAAGGCTCATAATTCAAAGGGAAATGAATGTTAATAAAGACTGCAGCTGCAGCCTATTTAATCTACTTTGTTCTCTATCTGCTTTGTTCCCAGCAACTAGTGAAGGTCAATTCTAGGGCCATACATAATGTTTTGTTTTGTTTTTAATTCCAAAATCCACCACTCCATCACAGCGAGGCACAGTTCTTCAAATCCAAACCTGTAGGAACAATTCATAGAGCCCTGCCAAGGGCATCTATCGTACACAGTCCCTCAATCTAAGCTAAATCCAATTGTTTATCTTGCTCAGTGGGAAATACACTGCATGCATTATAGAAGACACTTTTCAAGCAGTTGTTGTGATGTCAGCTGGGAAATAATCCCATCTTATGCATTGGTCAATAGAGTTATTATAAAATTCTCTAACATCTTTCTTGACTCAGAAGCTAAGAAGGATTGGGAGACACTATGGCCCAGTGGTTCACCTCCTTCATCAGCAGTCATTTCCAGTAGGTGTTGATGGGAAGGGGGAGAGATTGTGGATTCAGTCCCTCATGTGTGGGATGCTTCAGGGCTCAATGCTCTTCCCTCTCCTGTTCAACATCTACATGAAACCACTGGGTGTGGTCATCCGCCAGTTCAGGGTATGGTATCATCAGCAACTTTACATCTCTATCCCAAGCAGCACAGGTGAAGCTGTCAATGTATTGTCTGGAGGCTGTTTAGAACTGAAAGGGACTTTGGTTCAGTCCTAACAAGAGTGGGTTGCTGTGGCTGTTTTGACATCCCTGGGTTGGGGATATTACCATTTTTGGTCTTGGATGGGGCTGCACTTCCTCAGTCAAGATTGGTACGCAACTTGGGGGGGTCCTTCTGGACTCACAGCTGCTGCTTGCAGAACAGGTGGTAGCTGTGGCTAGGAGGACCTTTGCACAGGTTCATCCTGTGTGCCATTTGTGTCCTTTCCTCTATCAGGAGACCCTTCAGACCCATGCTCTGGCCACCTCATGATTGGATTATTGCAATGCACTCTACATGAAGCTGCCCTTGAAGACCACCTGGAAGCTACAGCTGGTTCACAGTGCAGTGGCATGGTGATGAAGTTGGAAGTCACTTCTTTATATATTTCTTTTCTCTTTATTATATTCTTATGTTTCTCTTTCTTCTCTCTTTTTTCTTTCTTTCTTTTTCCTTGCACTTTTTACTCCTCTCTCTTCTCTTTCTTTAAGCTTAGTTTGTATTAGATTTTACTATTATAATTAAAATACTTAATAAAAAAATAAATGTATAACCAAAAAAAAAAAATGCAGTGGCGCAAGCAGTAATGGGCATCTCTTGCATTGGTTGCCACTTAGCTTCTAGTGCAATTCAAGTTGCTGGTTATTACCTATAAAGCCCTGTTTGGCATGGGTCCTGGATATCTGAGAGACCACTTGTCTCCAACTGTTTCTGTCTGCCCACTATGTTCCAGCAGAGTGGGTGTGCTCCAGGTCCCCTCCATTAAACATTGCCATCTTGTGGGACCTAGGAAGTGTGCCTTCCCTGTTGTGCCCCCTACCCTCTGGAACAGCATCCCCTGAGAGATATGGATTCTCTCCTGGGGTTCCAGAGAGCTTTGAAAACCTGGCTTTGATCCCAGGCCTGGGATTGAAGTTTATTATTTGTTCAATGGCCCCTGTTTTGTTATATTGATGTTGTTGTTTATTAGATCACTTTAGTCAGGGCTGTCTGTTTGATTCAATGTTTTCTCTTCTTTTATTTTTTCCCTAGTTTTGTATACCACCTAGATTCCACTAGAGTTGAGCGGCCGATAAATTTAAATAAATAATAATATGTACTGTAGATACTTCTGTGAAATCACCAAGGAGTCAAGCTTGACTTGATGGGACTCTACATTTTAAAACACATATAGATTTTTAAATTAGATATTTCTAGATATTTACCTTCAACCAAATGGATCTTACATAAGAGATTTTCCTGTTGCTCATTGAAGGTGCATACATATTAGAGAGTTCATGTGAAAAAAGAAAGTAAAATATACCTTGGAACATTATGGAAATGTTCCCCGTCTGTTTTTTTTTTTTTTTTGTACTGTGATGACAAAATGGGAATTTTAAGATGCTACTACAGAATTATTATGATTTGTGAATTCTTATGGTTGTCCTGGGATCTATAAAGCTGTCAGAACAGGAATGATGGCTTAAGCTAACTGGGATGGTCCAAATGTTACTGTTCATCTCCCATTCAGTCTCTTTTTTATTATTATTTTCAGTTACTTGTATGAGAAAGGATAATACCATTATGAAATGAAAAAGTAGTACTTTAGTAATTGAATTTTAAACCTCTGCCAATATACTTAAATCTTAAGTACTTAAATCCACTGGGTAGATTGGCTAGAACAGTGTTTCTCAACTGTGGCAACTTGAAGATGTGTGGTCCTCAACTCCCAGAATTCCCCAGCCAGCCATAGAACAATATACAAGAATCTACTTATAATCTACAATTATCTACTTATTCCCAAATAGCTCCTGTGTCTTAAGTTTTATTCTTTTTTTCCTGATGCTGAATAACCTCAGAAGGAAGCGTGTATAAGTAAAGATTCCTGTACTCTCTACTTGACATACTACTTACAAAAACAAATTGTGAGCTTTGTATTTCCAGTATATTCTGAGAAGACAGATTCCTGTCACAATGAACTTTTCTCCGAAGAATGACTGCCCATCTTTTATTCAACTTTGATGGTATACATATAGCTATTTGTCAGAAGGAAAATATTTACACAAAATTAATTTTAGCAGCCTTTTGAGTAGCCCTTTTATGTGTTATTAACATTATATAAGTTACGTTAATAACACTTTTTAAAATAAAATATCTACTTATACACACAGACATATGCACATTCATATATTCAGTTAACAGAAATCTTGGGACTCATTAATCTCTAGTTAACCAGGTCATATACAGATTGTTATTTGTTGCAGCACTTCCACTTAGATTCCCATTTATGTGTTATCCTGGTCAATGTCTATATGCACAAATGCTTTAAAAAAAATGAAGTTGCAGATCAACTGGGAAGGGAATTGCTTTTGTCTCATGGTGTTTTGTTTGAAATCACACAAGCATTTTGGGCAATGACTTGATAGCAAATTGGGGAACTATTGTACCAATTTTGTTCCCTATCAAATTAAATCATAAATATGTGGTTTCATTAATAGACAAACTCTGCAGTTCACAGTTTCATGAATGATTCTGATCTTTCAATTCCGGAATTTATATTTAAATTTCAGATACGTTCTGCAAAAATATTGCTATACTACTCAGCTACCCTCTTTGGCCATTTAAAAAAGACTTCAAGAAAAATTAGTTTGATATGAGTATATTGTTGTAAGCAAATCAAGCTTTTCAATCACTTATTAAAAGTTATATTTTAGCAGAAAATACACAATTTATAGTAAGCAATCCTAGTTTGGCATTGTGAAAGTTGAATGTCACCTTGAATTATTCATTGAGTTCATTGAATTATTACCTTTGAATTATTGAATTATTAAGATAAACCCAAATTTCAAGTTATAGAATGGGATGGAAGAAAGTTAAAATACAAAAAGTGAAGCATTTCTGAGAAATCTGCAGTTAATCTTGCATTAATCACTTTTGGGAAATGGCAATTAGATAATTCTGAGTATTAATACAATGTGAATTCTTACTTTCTGGGGGTGAAATTTGGATTAAGAAAGCAAGCCCCACTACCCAAATCCAAGCACAGAACTTAACAAATATGCAGCTGCATTGTTGTTTTGCCAACAATAATCTTCAGATATATCAATCAACTTTAAGTAAATCCTGGAGCTATAATATAATACTATTTATAGTATCTAATATTGTATCTAAATTACAGGTAATTTATACACAATAATGTTCATTGTGGCAATTTTTCTTTGATAATTATTGTATTTATTTTTATATTTATAGTTTGTTCAAACCCTAACACAGTCTGGGTAGGGAACAACAAAGTCAAAATACTTTGAGAACATATATAAATAATAGAAATCAACACTTAAAAAGGCCCTAGCATACTGTCAGCTCATCATACATACCATTCCTCTAACCTAAATTCCCACTGGGACAATGTTGCTTTGGTATGTTTTTGGAGTTCTTATATAATAGGGACTATCGTACTTTTGAAGGAAGAGTATTCCATAAATTGGAAGCCACCATTGAGAAGGCCTGTCACTGGCCCAGACCCCATGAACCTCTGAAGGAGGGTAATCTGTACACGTCTAGATCAGATAGTCAGATTCAATTTTGGCAAGACTGATGTATGCCAGTGCTACACTGTATATGGCTATTAAGGTGATAATCAGAACTTTGAATTGGGCCCAGAGGCTTATTGGTAACCACTGCAGCAGCTTTTAAATTGGTGTTATTCTCTCTTAATGAGGTTGACCTTTCATGAGTCTAATTGTTGCAGCTGATACCAGCTGGAGCTTCTGGGTTATCTTCAAAAAGCACAGTGTAGTAGTCTAATCAGGGGGTGATCAGGACATGAGTTATGTTACCAAGTCATCTTGGTCCAAGTCATAACTGGCACACCAACCAAAGTTGGGTGAAGGTTCTCCTGGTCATTGCTTCTATTTTCTGTTTAAGTAGAAGGTGCGAGTTAAGGAGAACCCCAAGTCATGAACCAATTCCAAGGGGAGCAAAGCCCTAGCCAGAGTAATTACCAGATCAGATGTTATAAGATTACCACAGTGTCTATTGATGAGAACCAACTTTGTCTTGGTAGGATTTAATGCAAGTTTATTTTGCTCTACTCAGATCCTTACAGTCTCCAGACACTGTTTCCATATCCATATACCAAAAAGCATCCCTTGCAAGTGAACCTCAAATAATGTGCCTTTATTTTGGAAGAAACTTGCTAAACAGTCTAACAGTCTTTTATATGTCCGTAATTTGCTATGCAAATTTGGAGAAAAGAATAGCGCATGGATACTCAACTCATCAGAACTGAGTAATATGTATCTCTCAAGCTAATTTCATGCAGCTCTGAGCTCAATTTCAAAAATCCAGCTTGTTTCTGGGGCAGCTCGTTGGGTAGGAAAGAGTGGAAGGATGAGACAATACTCCTGCTACTTTTGGGCTCTTCCCATATCTCCTGACCTTACCTATCACCACTAGCTTATAGATCCAATAAATCCCGCACAAGGAAATATGAAAACTGATGATACAATTATTTTACTGCAGTCACTTGTGCAATGTACATTTCTGTTCAGATTTGCTTTTCTTAGCCATAATTTTACACATTGAATATAGCCAGTTAAAATGTCATTTAACATGCTGCATTCTTTCAATCTTTTCTAGTGTAAGACATATGCCTGTGTTCTGGAGAGTCATCTTATGGGGCTTACCATAGACTTTGGCATGGGCTTTGTATGCTTTGATGCTGCAACAAAGGTAAGGACAAGAGAATTGTATCACCGCTCCAATTCCAAGAATTCCAGGGTGGAGTTACTTCAGTGATTGATGAATCAACATACTGTATATAAGAAGATGGTGACTAGTCAACATGTGGTGCTATGGTAATTTGTAGTTGAAGAAGGCTCTTACAAAAAGATGTCAAGGTGAAAAAATGTTGGAAAAAATACTTATCTCCTGATGACAGAATCATGGTTGAGGGGGGAAAAAATCAAGAAAATTGCACCACAAAAAAGCCTATAGAATCATATACAGATGTTTTTTAAAAATAAAATTGTGGAATTTTGCTTCCACACAATTTTTCAATACTCAACATCTAATTTGTTCCAGTGAAAATAGATCTTTTGTGGCCATGATATAGGCTTGTCCTGCCTCTGAATTTTTTGAAAAGAAGCCAAGCCTCCTGTCGGTACTACATTTTCTTTTCTCCTGTTTCTCCATAGCAGAATATCTGAATAAGTAGAAAACAACAGATAAAATGCAAAAAGCTATGTCTCAGCTAAAAGTAATTGCTTTGGACACAAGTACTATAAAGCAACTGATGCACACACCTCCTCTTCTCACCATTCTTTCTTGACTATTGACCATATTCCTGACCATGCTACCACATTCTCAGTAACCCAGTGCAATGAATCCTGGGTAATGTCATCTTCCCTGTCCTGAAGGAAAAGTTCCTGCCTCCTGCTAAGAGCATCTGAGTCCTTAAAGAGGAACTTGAGAGGAAAACAGATTGCATTTGCACTGAAATCATGAGGAGTTTGAGAAGGACTAGTTTTGGTTTGTAATTTGGTCAAAATAAATTGAGCTACATTTCTCATTTTGACGATTATTTCAGTTTACCAAGGTCAGTTGCAAATCTAACATGCAGTCATGTTTACTCTTTGCTATGAAATTGTAATACAGACAAGGGAATGAAAACTACTAGCATGTAAAGCTGACACTTTTGAATTATGTGAGACTGTAGCACTAGTCCAGGGAAACAGAAGCAGAGCATGCACCCTCCTTTAACAATTAATACTGATAACTTGTAAGGATTTCAAACTAAGGTGCCTAGAATAGTTCCTTCTCTCGACCCCAACTTAGAACAGATGACACAAACTGAAATAGCTTTCTATTTATAGATTGCTCTGTGGATTAGGTGATATTGTTCTAATCTAGTTGTTACAGAAAAAACACGCTCTCCACCTTAGTCAAATACCAGGTTTGTAGTTCTGCAATGGCAGTAGCAAAGCAAGGAAGAGCTTACATTTATGTTTATTTTGTGTCTTGTGCTTCTTTCCTGTAAAATGGAAACCATAACCACCTTGAAAAGCCATTTTCTTTGATTAAAATCCAGCAGATATGAAACTGCATGAACAGAGGCTATTAATATAATTATGGATTCATAATTATATTTTTGTAACAGAAGAAACTTAACACAACTACATTCATCAAAATGCACCACTGGCACGACCTATTGATCAAAGACCAGTGGTCTTAACAGACAGTAACCAGTAGATTCAGACTCAGTCCTTGAAATACTTTTTCTAGCCCCATGGCAACGTACTTTGCTTACTCACCTGAAGCAAGTAATTTGTTTTGACAGGTCCATGACATGCCCTTGGCTCTTACATTACCATGATTACTGCAAGCTTGATCAGTGTCTTTCCACTGATTTTCCCCCCTCCAGAAACATGCTTCAGGGCTTGTCAGGCAATACTGCAGATAATTCTTCCCAAGTATTTACCTGACCTGAAGACTAAATTTGGTTTGGAACTATCCACAGGGCACTGCTTGTATTCCATGTCAACAGACGTGTGTGCAGTTGTGTCAGGTTAGGTTTTTAGAGCCGAGTTCTAAGAATTTCAGTTTCCATACTGAAACTGCATGTTTTGTAAGTGCTTTTGTCAAATCACTCAGCAACATATTTTTTTCACTGAAGTTGTTGAAGTTGAGAAACACTGTTCTAAAGCAGGGTTCCTCAACCTTCACCACTTTAGTTAAAAAAAAATGTTTCCTACTGATTTTATCAAAACACCTACAAAACATGCAGTTTCAGTATGGAAACTGAAATTCTTAGAACTCGGCTCTAAAAACCTAACCTGACACAACTGCACACACGTCTGTT